CAAATATCCAGATAGTTGAAGTCACCCATCACTACTATATTTCTCCTTGAATCCATGCTGAAGTTCTGTTTCAGTTATCCAGCCTTCTGTCTGCAGGTATTTTCCTCTTTTGCTCTCAAAAAAATGTCACCTTGCCAAGTCTTTTCTAAATTGATCCACTTTACATATTGTGATTCTTCCCTATCCAGCCCTTTGTTATTTTGGTCAGTGCCCAAAAAAGAGCTCTCTCCAAAGCTTCCAGTGACATCCTTCATTGCTTGATACATTTGGTTTTAAGCCCCCTTTTCCAAAGCAAAGATTGCAACTGACTCTTCAAGAGTCCTTGTATTGCCTCCTAGGATGCAATACAAGTTCATGAGGCTGAACTGAATATAGTAGCATTGCATGCATCCTTTAGGTGGCTATTCTTAGGCTGTATAGAATCATAGAGTTGGAAGAGACCACAAGGGCCATCCAGTCCAACCCCCTGCCATGCAGGAGTATCTTTCTTCAAAGTTAGAAAACACATGGAGAATATTCAGCATATGGGATTTTTCTAAATATATCTTCAGAATGGGTCTCTTGGTACATGTCTCAACCCCTCTCCCCATGTTTGTTGCTTTTTCCATCTGTTCATTTATTTTTACTGTTCTGCTTCCTTTGGTTGCTCCTTTACACTAGAAAATTGTCCATACTTGTTTCTGTAACCTTTCTTGAAAATAATTTTCTAGTCCATACACATGGTTTTTCTCTGTTATTCTTGTTTCTTACCAATTTTAGTCTTTTCATTTTCCAGACAAAGGGGCAGAAAGAGAACTACCTCAGCATTTCAAGAGTCACTGCCTGTTAAAGAGACAACAATACTGGATTAAATGGACCAAAATTGGGGTCAACCAGTACTCTTTATATGTTCAGCACTGTTACCTTCAGCATTTAACACTGTGCGGCATCAGAATGTCATTGGGCTGAGGTTGGGGCAGCCGATGTGTGGCTGCCCCTCCCCATCTCTGCCTCCAGGCTGGCCCTTTGGGCCAGTCTGTAGAGGCCCATAGTTAAGCTTTTATGAATTACCAGCCTTGTTAAAAATTACCTAACTGCTAAAATTTGCTGAAAACAACAGATCTCTGTTTCATTACATTTCACTCACATAAGGAAACAATTCTACCACAGTGTCTATTTTAGTTCTACCACACCATCTATGAGGTTCTACCACACTGTCTATTTTTGAGGCCATATATCTGTTTAATATAACTTTGTATAATATAACTCTATTTAATATGTCTCCTTATATTAAAGTCACGTTTTTACATTGCCAGAGAATATCACCATAGAACAACAGTGTAGAATATTACATGTAGGGATTACTGCACAGAAAAAAAGTATCTATTCACATATATCTCTTAACAGTTATGTAGTGTTCTTTATATGGATTCCATACTTCATTCATCAAATAAAATTAACTTGTGTGAATACACTACTTGATTGGTCTAGGGTTTATAATTATGACTATATGTAGATTTAATATAGGGAGCCACTATGGCATAGTGGTTTGAGTGTTAGACTACAGTTCTGGAGACAAGGGTTCAGTTCCCACTTCGGCCATAAAACCCACTCAATGACCTTGGGCAAGTCACACACACTCAAACTCAGAGGGAGGCAATGGCAATTCTCCTCTGAACAAGTCTTGCCAAAAAAAAACCATACTAGATTTACCTTAGAGCAGCAGTTCTCAAATAGTGGGGCAGGCCCCCCAGAGGGGTTGCGAGGCTCCGTAAAGGGGGGCCCATTATGGCTAGAGAGAGGAAGATTGTCCCAGTGCAGCCCGACGTGCTCTATCCTGATTGGTCAAACCCACCCATGTGACTATTTATAGTCGCGCGGGGGGGCGTGAAATGTTTTCTTCTTTCCTAGGGGGGGCGTGACAGAAAATAATGGAGAAGCACTGCCTTAGAGTCACCCTAAGATGGAAATGTCCTGAAGGCACAGAACAACAAATATAAAAACTAAGGGCCTGAACAGACTGCCAGAAATAATCCAACCTGAGATCACTTTAACTGTCCTGGCTCAATGCTAGGGAATCATGGAAATTGTAATTTTGTTTGAAACATTGAGCCTTCTCTGTTAGAGAGCTCTGGTGCCATAATAAACTACAGTTCCCATGATTCCCTAACACTGAGCCAAGGCAATTAAAATGGTCTCAAGCTGGATTATTTCTAGCAGTTGTTACAGGCCTTCAGTCAAATATGAATTCCCTGAACTGTTTCCACATTCCCAGCTTCTGAAGCCCTCTTCAAATCTTATTAATTCTTCCCTTTACTCTTCATACTATCTCTGACTTCCCTATTTCATCCTACCTTTATTTCACCCTTTTAAGACTAACCTCTGGATTATATCCTTTCACCACTAGTCCTTCCCACCTCTAGCCTTCCATGACTAGCAACTAGCTGATTGTACTCAGCCTTACCCACCTTCTTATTTCACACTCCTTAGAAACAATAATCAAAAATTGGCTGAAAATGAAACCAGAAGTGATGTGACACCACTTAGAGCAGGGGTAGGCAACCTTTCCCCTTTAAGGGCTGAGGGACTTCAACTCCCAGAAGCCTCAGCCATGTTGGCCAGTAGTCCCATGTTGGCCAATAGCTCCTGGGATTCTGGGAGCTGAAGTCCCTCGGCCCTTAAAGGGGAAAGGTTGCCTACCCCTGACTTAGAGCTTTGTCTAGGAGTTTTAAAAGATGGCTCCAGACCCTTTCACATTTGTCCACCCCTGATTTAAAAGTTCCTCTGGTGCTCCTCTGGCATTTGGCATTTGATTGCCCTTCCCACGCCAAGTTTGAAACTTTCACTGTCTTGTTTAATTCTTTAATTTCTTTTTTGACTGATCTATTAACTGCTCATTGTTCACAACTTTCACAATGTGGCATGGGGCTAGATCAATTTTTGAGTCTTTTCAAGGTCCCCTTAAGGGCCCTTGGGGTGGTAGACTACCAGGTCCAGGCCCAGATTAGATGTTGGACTTACCTTGTGTGACAAATGGCAAGGAAACCACACAGTAGCTGGCATCCATATGGATTTGGTGTAAAATAAGAGATGTGCTCCAGTGTTGTTGTGGAACAAAATGTTGATAAGCCATGCTGTTGTTTAAAAGGCTTTATTTATCTTGCTAATATGTTTCGGAAAGACCCTTCTTCAAGAGCTGGTCCTTCTATTTTTCTCTATCTGTGGCCAGAGTTTCTAGCTTTAAATTCAAAGCTAGAAACTCTGGCCACAGAAAGAGAAAAATAGAAGAACCAGCTCTTGAATATAAATAAATAAATAAATAAATAATATAAATAAATAAATAAAAGCCTTTTTAACAACAGCACGGCTTATTAACTTTTTGTTCTACATAAACATTGGAGCACATCTCTTATTTTCCAGCAATTCATTGTGTTTTCTCCCCCTCAACTCACCCACATGGATTTGGACAGCTGAGCATAATGGATAGCAGATGGGTTAGAATCATAGAATTATAAAATCTTAAGACTTGTGGAAGAGACCATGAAGGCCATCCAGTCCAATCCTTAGCATGCAGGAATATGCAACTAAAGCACTCCAGAGAAATGCCCATCCAACCTCTGTTTAAAGACTTCAAAGATGGAGAGTCCACTGACTTCCGAGGCAATCTATTCCACTGCTGGACAGCTCTCAGAATAAAAAAGTTCTTTCTAATGTTTAGCTGGAATCTTTCTTGTAATTTGGATCCCCTGATTCATGTTCTAGTCTCTAGAGTAGCAGAAAACAATTGTTCTATCTTCTACATGATGATTGGGTTGTCCAATATGTGGACCAATTGTTTCATGCCAATCCAGGCCTGAGCAGCTGTAATTAATGAAGCTGTAGTCTTATTTTATCCAAACATGTTGTATTTCTGTGTTGTGCTCTTTCTCTCACCATAAGGAACATAATATGAATTAGGCTAAACCTGACATGTCGACATCAAGGGGAATCATGTTATTATCTTCAAAAGGAATAATGTGAGGTTCTTTTGAAACAATTTGCATAATCATGATTACATAAAAGACATGACTGTTGACTTAAATATGATGCCCCCTTCTTGCTTTGACCTGGGAACAATCCTTTTAGCTAAGATTTCTCTCTTAATTTCTAAACAGGAAAACAGGTTTGTGTTGTGTGTGTGTTTGAATAAATGACAAACTGTAAGCAATTGTCATGAGATCTAGAGATACCACCAAGGCATGCCCCTACATCCTAGGTTTTGGCATGGAAAGCTCAATGTCTGGGACAATGCTGAACTGGCATTGCTAGCTACAAATGCAATTACTAAAGACTTCGGGGAATTCACTGCCTGTATCATTGACTAATTGGTCAGTTACACTCATTAATATAAATGGGTGTAATCGAAAACCTTTATATACCGATGTCTCATGTTTGGGGCTATGAAAGAAATGATCTGTATAATTGGGGTTTCCACCTTGCATCTACTAAATATCTTGCTGCTTATGAAACAAAATTAAGAATTCATTGCACATTCTGAGCATATTGCATCAAAATCTGCATCACTCTTCTTTTTGATCTCATACATAGAATTATTTGATGTTAACCATTATATCATTAAATGACACACTAATAATCAAATAGTGCATTTACATAGCACCACCTACATTTTCTCATTAATCGTTACAATAGCTCTGTAATATAGACCAGTATCAATTTATCTCTAAAGTTTAGGTGGGAAAAGAAAAATGAAAATGAGAGGTGATGGCTCACAGCAGGCTGCTTAGGGAGTTTATGATGGAGCAGTATGTGAACTAAGGAAAGCTCTGTTTCATAGCACAGTCTCTTCACTATTATACAATATCAGCTCTACATTATACCATCTCTTAGTCACATATTACATCAGCTCTGGTGTGAAGGAGAAAATTGTTTAAATACTTTACCTCCACATTTTGATCACTTTACCTGTTGATCAGTCTATAATTGCTATGAGAGGTTTTTACAAATTGTGCCATGACTAATGGGCATCCCCACCCTAGCTCAGAGTATCTTTTATCTACACAAGATTGTTGTGCTGGAGGGTGGTTCATCTGCTTGTGGTTTTTTGTTTTTTAACCTATTCTGGATATGACGTACCATCAATAAGGGTCAAGTTCACAATCCAATAATGTCCAGATTTATCACTTGATTTGTCCTGTTTTGCTTTTAAAATGTGTGATATGATGCTTTAGCTCCTCTATGTGCAGCAATATTAACAGTGGGTGTATACATTTCTAAATAAATAAAATAGGGGTTACTAGTGTTACTGCCTGAGATCCAACACAAATGGAGCAGAAAGCTCCACCAAAACAGTAGTGCAGGGACACCATCACTTGCCCATGTGCACATAGAGATGCCTATTAGCATCAGTGGCTTTTGCTTTTTCATTGAGTTTAGTGGGTGTCCTGTGTGTGCAAGTGATGAAACTGTCAAAGTGCTTGTGTGAACACCTTGACATAATAGGATCCTGGCCACTGTAGATCAGGTTGCTGCTAATTCCTGTGTTTCTTCTGGAAAATTTGTTTTTATTGTTTGTTCTGGAAAAGTTGTTATTGTTGATTTGCTGCTGCCAAGGCTATGCTTGAATGGATGGAAACACGTGTAAAGCATCAACCATCCTGTCTAAGGGGGGTTGCAGACTGCCAGAAATAGTGCAAATTGAGTCCACTTTTAGGGTTAGGGTTAGTGCTAGGGAATCATGGGATTTGTTTTTTTCTGATACATTGAGCCTTCTCTGTCAGAGAGCTCTGGTGCCACAATAAAATACAGTTCCCATGATTCCCTAGCCCTAACTCTAACCCTAAAAGTGGACTCAATTTGCACTATTTCTGGTAGTCTGCAACCCCCTTAGCCACAGGATTAGGCTGCCCATCTGTTTAGCTCTCACTAGTGCTCTGCATTTTTACAAGAAAGATTGAGGTTAAGAAAGTATATATCTGCTTTTAATTCTTTCAGAGATAATTGTTATTCAGAGCATGAAGTAAATAATATCACTTTTTCCATGGGACTCTTGTATTCACATCTTGCGGCACAGTAAACAATGGAAAAAGCCTATGTTTATTTTGGTTAGCCACAAGCAAAGAAGTTATTTTTTTTCCAAGTAACTTCTTACAGCATGAAATATTGCAATGGGGCAGGTGTTGTTTACTCAAAAGACTGTCTCCACCAAGTTTCCTCACCTTCTGTCAACAGTAAGCTAATTGTGCTTCATAAAATTAAAGGAAAGGACTGGTAAGAAGTGGATTAGATATATTTTTCTAATATTACACTAGACTAGATGCTTTCTGGAAAAAAGATATTTCTAGCATAACCTTTTGTGGACTACCATCCATTTCACTTCAGCATACCACCACAAACAGCCAAACATGTAGGTCTCCAGCACTGTATAACCAGTGTTGCTCAAGTCCTTTAGCTAAGATTTCTCAATTTCCAAATAGGAAAATAGGTTTGTTCTCTCTGTCTCCCTCTCCCCCCCCTGTGTAAAAGTGCTTTTTAAGGATATTGTTATTCCTATATATATTTAGCCCTTGATTTTTTGTGCCTTTTATTTTATTTTCATTATTGGC